TCACATAGATCCAACACATTGTCATTAATTACCTCATTGCTCTTGATCACTTCAATGGTATTGTTTTCCAAAGCACTAGCCAGATGAATAACGAGATCTATTTTGTACTTTTCAAACAGTTCATCTAGTTTCTTCTTTTCATTCACTAAATCAATAACATGTACGTCAGTTTCGGGAATGGAATAATCTTTTGTATTGTCGACATGTTCAATTCCAAATCGATTGTGACTATCCGTTCCGACAATTCGATCTGTCAGAATCAGACGAAAAGATGTGTTCTGTCTCAAAGCACCGTAACATAATCTACCAATATATCCATTGCATCCTGTTATTAAGATATTGCACATTCGCTCGTTACCATTCACGGACATGATGATTTTGTTTCAGAAGTTCGTTATTCTTATGGGTAAAAGGTACGCGCCTTCACTGTAATTTTGAAATATTTGCTTGTATTACCTTCACACGTTGGATTGCTATCTTTAGCGACTGTTAACATTTTGCTGGGAGGTATGAAAGAGAGAGAGAGAGAGAGATAAGATAAGCGTTACATTTATTTCATCCATACTCTAGATGTCATTCAGGTACCGTCATCGAGTGTGAATTTGTTTTCTTCTGGGCTTAACGACGACATGTTTGTTTTTTTCCTGTTCTTCACTGTATGAAGCGTGCGTCGATGTAGAATTATGATTTTCATTTAAGCGAGGGAATGAAACAGAGCAAACGATGATGAAAAAAATAGTAGTGTTTTAAAAAGCAAAAGAAAAAAAAAGGTCTAACCCGATTTGAAGATCTTGCAAATGAAACGATTTATGAAATCTTATATCCTATCTGGATTTTATTACACTTATTTGGGATCGAATAATCTTAATATTCGATTTGAAAACTTCCTTCTTAGTTATGCACGACCGGTAAGACTTGATGCTTTGTCAGCGTCCCAGTCAGCGTTTAAATAGTATGACAAATACTTAATTAAATGTAATCAACGAGAAATCAGATCTTTGCATTTATCGAATCCCTTTCTTGATCAATATGACATTCAAAATTCATTTACTTCTTCTTCCATCGGATTTCATCAAATTGGAAACACTCATACTGATTAATATGTCAAACCTATTCTCAATCGTTTGACAACCTTGCCAGAGTCGCATTTACTAACGATGACCTGTGACGTAGAAAGAATCAATGCTGCACGGCCGCTTTCATTACCAATGCAGAAGATAACTGAATTATCTATTTGATCCATCCTTGGGAATCACTGACGTTCGTAGTTCAATTTTTGAGCTTCAATGCTTGTGTTCAGACGTTGAAAATCGATTGGCCGGAAAAAAAACAGATGAGACTATCCGATTGAACAAAAATTGTGAAAACTTCTCTTTTTAGTATCGGAAACAAGTTATATACGAAATCTGATCCAGAAAAATCGATTCATATTGAAGTAATTCCGATTTCTCATTTGCCTTTGTCCTCGAATGGAGTGTTTAACATTCCAGACAATAGCTGACCTTCGATTGTTATTATATTTCTCTTCTCCAACGAGAATTCGAATGCACCACGTTTGTATTTCTCATGTGTCGAAGGCATAGTAAAAGTTGATAGTGAAAGAATGACGGCCATCATTAAATTTAATCAATTACTCAAAAACTTTACGCTAAATTTTGCATCCAGTATACTTACTTGTTATTTACGGTGGAAATAATCATTGTTTAAATAAAAAATAGTAAATCTCATAATCTAAGTCGATGCAGGAATTTGGCCTGTGGGATTGGTTAATTTGTATTTTCGAAAAAACTCCATTAAGGAATTATAGACGACTAGGAGAATACCACCACCCGGTCCAAGGCGGAGTACCTTCGGTACAAAACCTTTGTATAACGCCCAGAATCCTTCCTCTCGAGCGACAATAAATAATGAGGGAATGGACCAGTTATATTTCGCTGGTAAAAGAGTGCGAGGCGAGTTTTGTATTCGACTTTTAACAACATCAAATGGAGTGTTCAACACCGTTCCAACGCAACCGCCGACAGCTCCAGCAATGAAACTATTGAGCATTTCAGGTTGAGCTGGTAGCCGAGCTTTAACTTGAAAGATAACACCGAAATAGCCCGCATTCCAAACGATATGTCTCATCATAGTCGCTTCTAATCCATTATACAAAGCTAAAATTCCTTCCTGCTTGATAATCTTTTTCAAACAATCCACAGTTCCTACACATATTCAAAATTAGACACAGTTTTGCCTTTCCAAAAGCTCATTTCGATATGGAAGTCTTACCTAGATAGAGATGAGCACTTTTCTTATCTTGTAGTCGAACTTTAACTAGTTCAAACGGTACGACAATGATTGCCTCCGTCGCCCCAGCACTAGCACCATTCAATATACTCAAACTTTGATTATTCTTTTCCATTTGAAACAACTTTCGATAGAACTGACCCCATAAATCATTTGCCCCGAATTTCGTCGCTCTCTTCGGTGCCTCCATCAAAATTGGCGGAAGAATACCGCGATAAAGTCGACCTACTCCTTCTTGTTTAACAATATTTCTCAATGAAGCAAATGTTCCCATGCTTTTGCCAACCATCAACTGAGACCTTGTTTTAATGACATCGAGTGGATACATCGTGATAACTTCAGTAATACCCGCGATTGCACCAGCTGCAAACGAATCCATTTGCCCTTGAATAGACCTGCTGACGAAAACGAAATGAATGACCAATATGTAGTTGAGAGGAAAAAATATATATGTATGATTCACGTGTGTAATCTACGTAAATAAACAAGTATTTAATAGACAAAAAAGGAAAGAAAAAGAGGATCGAATGATGTACAAGCATAGTGCGAGCATCGGTAATTTAGAATGTAAATGATTCATGAATGTAAGAGAGTAAAGTCATAATAGACTAAAACTATTGTCTTTCTGGCCTCAGGTAAACATCTGTTGACGTAATATCCCTTGTTCTTCATTGTGAAAATGACATTTTCATTTATCGAATTTCGTATTGATTGTTATCGTTTCGATATATTCGAATAGGATGTATATTTTAGCATAGTAAAAGAGTCCGAGAGATTCAAATGTATAAAATAAATGCGTAGAAACACGGTAGAAAAGATGAAGAAAATCGTTGTACTCGCCTGATTAGAATGCTGTTCTTTGTCAAAGATCAATAAAGAACAAAAAAATGCATCAAGATTTTATAACATGCACTTGAAATTTGATCTTCGATAACGCACGACCAAGGTTTATCACTATTGTGAATAGTCTGATCTGTTCAACATTCACCAACGTTAGATGCATGTCAGGTGATCAAGACGATTCAATCTAAAGTATCACTTGGCTCTGAAAGTAATATGTTTGGCTGTTCGAAAACAGAAATGTTCTTTATAGTGTGATGAAGACTATTCTATATTCCTTGAAGTTTTATTGAATAATTCGAGAGTACATCTTGTTACATGATGCTGTACATTACTACCGTTATTTGCAAGGCGTGATGTGTTGTATGAGAAGTATTGCTATACAGTTTAAATGCTTAGTTTCTAAAGCATCTGTTTGTATTAACTACTGTAAGAAGTATTAACGCAAAAATATATGGTAGATGAATTGAATTACACACAGATTTATTTACATCATGTGCTCAGTTTAAAATTCCTTTAATGTGAATTGTGATAAAGATAATAATAGTGCCTGTAATCTCTCATCTGATGTGTATGTGACGTCAGTAAGGATAATGCTCGGAAGCTAATAAATAGTAAAAATGACAGTCACATGTGCTCTTAAGTGCGACCAAGAACATTTTTCTATGAGAATTAAATAAAAATGAAGAAATGCTCACATCCATAAGGAAGTCCAGCATGAATAAATCGTGATATGAAAGTCAGTTCTTAATTCTCAGGCGATGTCCTCTATTGAACAGGTACTACAGCATTTTTTGGCACTTGTTTCATTTTGATCGCCGGTAATATGTTCGGTCGGAAAATTTGTCTTTTCTGACAAGATTTGCGAAGCAAAATTTTAAATTTGAGCTTGTCATTCGATAACGACATCACACACAAAAATGGTAGCAAACAAATCACGTAATATGAGAAAAATTGTGCGTCTGATTGAAACGCAGCACCAACATATTCGGGTATAAAAGATTGTTGCAACAGTTCTACAATCATAGGCGGCATATACAATGTGAAGTATGTGATAGATATAGATAATAGTTGAATGACCATTTTTCGATGCTTTCGCCATTGAATACGTTGTTGAATGCGATATCTTCGCACGAGAACCCTCAGAAGAAGAGTTATACTAAAGAAAACAATCGTTAGTGTAGGTAGAATATTGTGAATCATCGTATCCCATATGCCAACTAATTTGTTTCTATACGAACAAAGAGGGCGACCGCACAACGGTAGATCGTATTGAAATGTGTTTTGACACGATGGAAACAGAATAGTGATGACATGAAAGACGAAACAGTAGACAAATATCATCCCCAAAGGAAAATAATGAATATACAAACGTTTCTTTTTCGTCGACAGCCAATTGTCATGAAATATGAAAATATGCCGTTCGATTGAAATCCACGCGACGAACAGCAATGCAAGCGTAAACAATCCCCCATCAGTAAACATCCAAATCAAACAAACTTGTGGCACTGATGGATAGACAATACCTGAATAGTAATAATTGAGATGGAACGGAATACTCGTTAGTTCGTATAGCAAGGTGTTGAGTAAGAGAACAATAATAGCATGATTGTTAAGATTGCGACGTAGTTTGACATCGAACAGTAAATGATAGAGAATGAATAAACAACAAAGGATTGATAGAAGAAAAGGGATGAGAAATATCCAAAAGCGATCGATTAGACTTATGGAGAAATCAACAAGAGTGTATGAATGATGATCTATCATTGCCAAAGAACTTTTTCTTTCAAGTATGGATTTTCTAGAAGATAAATAATCTATATATAAGGAACGCGTCTCGTTGAAAGGAAGCATGCTATATTTAAGGATATTGTGACCTCAAAGGTATTATGGAAATTTCTAAATAACAACAAAATGGATTTACACCAAGCTATCACGCTCTTGTGTTAGGTGATAGAACTTTACCCTTAATAGATCTTATACATCTGCTGCTATCATGTGTATAATGTAAAATTATGCTAAGGTAAATAGTTGAGAAGTCTCTAAACGTTGAATCTTTCAATTATTATCAACAGAGTATAGTATTACTATTTGTGTAGAAAAGTCTTTCAACTGTGTACCATTAATTAAAGTATCAGAGAGTTCAAAATGTCTCTAGAATCTGCAGGTTGTTAGTAAAGATGAAATAGGTCAAAAAATTCATGAGAAAACTAATTTGAGATTACTGTGAGCTCAATATCATTCTCTTTGCTCGTCGAATACCCGTGCATACCTATTCTTTCCTTTTATGAAATCTGAACTAGACGGTACTGCTTTTCTAAATAATGTCACATAAAAGACTGTAATAGGATCAGATGAACAAGTCATGACAATGACAGTAATCTTCTATCTCGTGTATTTGATGTCAACAATATGAATAGAATGCCATTCAAACGATAATAACCATGAGATAAAAATCTTTACAGTTTTTCATGTCGCATCCAGCTAAATTACTCTTCGAAACAACGAGATTCTCTAAGTGATGATGACATACATTGGTGTTCACGTAATTCGTTCTATCTAGTCAATCAAATCAATGACATAGGAGAAAATCGTGAGTTATTATCAATTTTAATAATGAGATCTGAAAGTTGAGTTCGAGCAGTGACTTCGCCTTGTCATATGTTTGCTTACCTCGTAAATATACCATAATGTAGGTGTTTTGATAGATATTCAACAATTATACCATCAACGAAACTCGTCTGATCGATATTGATATGCTGTGTGATTAGGCGTATAGAGACGGATGCATCATGGTCAAATCTTTGTTATCATTCTTTTTGTCAGTTATGCTTTAGCTGTCGGTTGAAAAAGCAAGTTTATGCTTAAATCGTTTCTAATTGCTATACTTTGTCTATCAGTGAAGATTGTTCTTATTACCGACCAGACGTTGCGACCAAAGAAAAATAGAGGTACATAGGCATACTTGATTTCATGCATTCGAATGGTGAACGTCAGCGTTCTTTCATACATCACTGCCATCTTTAATTAATCATTGGTATATTTACACGCATCGTAGTCAATGAAACTCTTTTTGTTTCTTCTTTTTCCATTGGACCCGCTTTCATCGAAGCAAACGTTCATATGGATGGCAACCAAAGTATAGTTTAGTATCTACTGTTGACTCAATGATGTTAATATATTCTCAACAAAGTAAACGTTGTGAGAATCTGTTCGATGATCGCATTTTCTTCTCTGAGAGTCAGCATTATCTGATAAAGATCTGTATAATAGGTTTATTTTATACACACACAATTTATAAAAAAATCGAATAGAATTCATGATTAATATTAAAACAATGATAGGCGTAATTTTTCACATAAAAATAAGAGGAAATAAAAGGTCATTTCACATAACTTCTCCGATACAACTGAACTGCATTATTTCCTTGTATTCCAGCTGCTTTTCTCAACACTTCTTCTGTAATAAACTGAGTAAGTAATTCAGCACCATGACTGGAAAAAATATCGAGCTGCTCACACCGTCCGCCTGTCTGAGTAGCGATTTGCTGAAAGCTATCTTTGGCCGAATGATTTAAATACAATGTATGAATAGGAATTTTCTTCTCTATTAATCTCTTAATTTCATGTAGACTATCTGAGTATTCGTCATCGGAGCGTTCCCGAGTGATATTCACGGAAGCACTTCCAATAAAAATAACTTGTGAAAGGGACTTTTCTATAACATCGATATTTGGTAGATCAGCTTCCATCGAATTCTCTAAAGCGTTTTTGGCATAGTTAATCGTATTAAGAAATGCTCGTAAACTACTACCTTTCGAATGCCAAGAAGAATACTGCAAAACCTGATTTCCTCGAACAGTGCAATTTTGATTAACCGCGATTTGCATTTGAATTACATCACTCGGTAAATCCATTTTGTCTAAGGTAGCTGACGCACGTTGGAATATCGTACAAATTATTTCTTTCATACTAGACAACAGAACATATAGTGAATTTGTGCCGCTGATTCATTCCATATTTTTGATGGATCTTTTGTATTTACAATAAACACACATTCTTTTTTTTTAATCAGCTCAAGAACTTGCTTTCCATTCATATCAGTGCTATGTGTCATCATATTAGATAAAGATTTTTAGCAATGCGATCAAGATACGTTGGCTCTAGTTAGATTTTATTAAATTGAATTATGTGAAAACTATTGTTTTAATAAACTTTTTCAAGCAATCAAATGATAGTGTTATCTATCATCGCTATAGTTGTTTTCCTTTCGGAAACATTTTTCGAAGATGTCCGACAAATACATTCGAATACATATGTTATTTTTGTATATTGTTGAATATTATTCCTTGCCACGCATAAAATAAGCAGATGCTCGACATTTACGTGAACGTGAACAAATAGGTATTTTTGTAACATTAATGTGAAAATAGACTGAATAAGAAAAAAAATCACATTTTCTACTATTTTTATTAACAAAATCAATATAAAATCAGAAAAAAATTCTACCGGTCCGGTAGAAAAATATTTGTTTCGACGGGCCGGTAGGAATTCTCTACCATTACCGGCTACAACTCTGCCCCAAACATACCATCCCGATGTTACTCTCCACACCCTCACCGACATGAATATAAGTCAAGTCTTGAATAATTACTTTTTTTTCTCAATGCGTCCTGAAATGTCTTATTCTGTGCAAAAACATCCAGAAGATTTACTTCATAGTTTGTATTTTGTCTAGAAATTGAAAGATTAGTTTTCCTAACAAATTTTTCTCAACGAAGAAAATCAATGTCGTTTTTCTTTTCATCATCATTATTAATCTTAATCTCTATTCCATCAATTTTTTGTTGTTCATGTGTTTCATTATCAATTGATGCTGAATTTTATCAATCATCAATGATTTTTCTTGGTCGTGTTATTTCTTCAACTATAAAAGATTCCAATTTGGTTATGGGTTATGCTCAAATGACTATGGAAGTGGAAGAAGCAATTAAAGTTTAAAGATTTGACTAAGATTTGTTCATTTTTTCACGAGAGATTACTTTGATTTAGGGAACAAATATCGGGCATTTAATTGTTATTCGTTCGTATTTACAAGGATCGATGTGTGTGGACTTGGAGTTCTTCCAGTAGGTTCACGATGGCAAATCTGGTTAACGACACATAATCTGATTGGTCTTTGTTCAAGAAATAAACAAGATTTTCAGAAAGATATTGAAATTCTTCGTAATTTAGCCTCACAAGAACGATTAAACGTGAAAGAACGAAATATTACAAAGGAAAATGAAAATAATATTGATCAAAATCTTGATTCTTATTATGATGAAGATTCTATTGAGCCTTCTTCTGTAGACGTTCACAAGGAATATATTTATATCACCATTGAAGATATTCCCAAAGGAATTGGAACACGATTATAAATCAATGATTTTTTAAAACTGTTTTATATTTTTGGAATTCTATTTTCTTTGATCGAAAGAATATAATTATTCAAATATTTCAAAGCAAAAAAAAACGAATCAGGATGTGAGAGTGAGGGTGATAGTGCATACGAATATCCTGAACTAATCTGGCAGGTGATCAATGTCACTGTTGTTGTATAAACAATTCACTCGATCGAAGTGCTCCTGCTACTTAAGCAAACTGTCGACGATTACTGAATTCAGTTGGATGATTACTATTACTAGAGATATGCACACTCAAGCTCACGAGCCGACTCAAATGAACTTTAGAACTGCTCATTTGTTCATTCTGCGCGAGCTTGACTTTCTAGAGTCCTAATGATTACAATAGTTGTAAATTTTTTGCACAAGAAATGCTTTTCAAATCATTTTCTTTTGTATTCGATATTTTGGCATATCTTTCGTCTGACTTCCATCAAGTACGTTCAGTTTCAATACAAACGGGTGAATAACCATTTGAAATAATGTCACCAGTTAGGTGAACCTTCTACGTATATCCGAAATTAATTTGAAAAACAAAAAAACTATAGAAAACCGAACTCTAGTGCTCAATTTTCTAATATCATGAGTATAATATTTCCTTTTGATCATGCCGGTCATATATGGACCGTTGAACTAGCATTATGTATCATATGGGTATCTTCGCACGGTTCTAAAAAAGTTCTCTTTGTCGATTTTTGATCGAAAATTGTCATTTAATTTGATTTCATTCAGTGAAATATTCTGAAACGATCTTTTGAGAAGTTTCCATCAAAGGAGAGGAAAAGATTCTTTGTCTTGATCATCAATCAAGAATTTCTCCTTCGAACAAATTTTTTTTTATTGAAAGTTTCAAATTCTACTAAATTTGCCAACCTAACGATGATTCGTTTTCTTCTGAAATATTTCTAGTCGATATTCGATGTTTTAAGACGATGCATGAATGAGATGAAATCAATAATAATCACATTTCTCCCGTTGATTTTCATGTCAAATTAATGAACATAAATTTGAATAGTTGTGCAATGACACTTGTTGCTCACCACGTAGTGGTGGATTTTTTCTTTTACGTTGATAAATTGAGAAAGCAAAAGAGTTTTATGTTGAATAATTTCGTCGTCATTCTTTTCATTGTCGTATAAGATGCAAAAAATAAAGTGCAAACAGTGCTCACATATGAAGATTCGTGAGACTAGGGTTGTATTTCTACTATCACTTTCAATCTTATAACCATTCTACTTTATTTCTCAACGTACTAACTGTCGAAATGAATAGAACAAAAAAAGACTTGTACCCAGGTGGACAAATCCCATACTGGAATCCGACGAAATCCGATAGGATTCCTGGCGACGGAATTGCTTCGGATTCCGACGGTTACGGATTCCATATCGGATTGCGTCGGATTCGATCGGTTCTCATCGGATCCAACGTCGGATTTGTTGACCTGGGTATAACAATGAAAGAAGACATACATCATCAGGATAAACAACTGCATGATAAGTGATAAAAAAAAGCCAAAATGAGGAAGAATCTTAACGACGAAATGAGAGATTATCATCGTGAAGCTATTTTAACAAATCAATCTGGAGTTGTTTGACTGCATCGACAAATTGATCAGATGAAATTCTACCCTGTTGTAAGTCCAAGTTTAATTTGTCGATTGATGACTTGAACAAAATATCCTTGTTCTAAAAAAGTAAATCAATATCATGTGAGTGATGAAAAATTTATCTACTTCTTCTTCTTTCTGAGACATATTGGTGTGCTATTGAATGAAACGCTCTTGGCAATGATAAGACATAGAAAGAAGAAACAAGCTATATATACTCATTGTAAATGAGGACAAAGAGGACATCAATGGACATGATTGGATGAATATCATTGTTCATTATGAACTCGGACCACTGAATAGCCAAAACAAATAATAGTCCAAACAAAACGAAGTGTGTGCTGTCTTTTTTTCTGATTGATTAACCTCCTGATTTTTTCGTTCTGTTGGAAACGAAAAAAAAGATGGTGAATCACTCTCTCTAGCGAATATAGCTGGTGAACAATGTGACAGAACGAAAGAAAATATTTTGTGTCTTCATTTTATCTTTAATTAGAAAACATACATGAACATTGGGTGAGATTTTGCTCTCTACAGATGAAGATGATGTAAGACGAAATGATCAGGAATTTCATCATCGGCCTATGCAAGCAAAAAGTATTTGAAAAGTTTCAGGATTTTTCTTACTTCATCAGGGATATTCATGATAGCTTCATCTAAAACATTTAAAGCATCGCGATGTTGTTGAACCATGTCTAGGAATTCTTTCGTATGAAATTTTTCCATATGAACAAATAACATTTTCAGTACATTTATCGAAAAATCCCGACAAAATGGACATTCATATTGATGTCCTGTATGAAAAAATGATCGCTGTCATTTTATTTAAAGTGTGCTAACAAACTTTTTGCTTACCCATTCTACGGAACGAATAATCATCGAAAAGCTTAATAATGGCATTNAACTAATCTGGCAGGTGATCAATGTCACTGTTGTTGTATAAACAATTCACTCGATCGAAGTGCTCCTGCTACTTAAGCAAACTGTCGACGATTACTGAATTCAGTTGGATGATTACTAGAGATATGCACACTCAAGCTCACGAGCCGCGACTCAAATGAACTTTAGAACTGCTCATCTGTTCATTCTGCGCGAGCTTGACTTTTTAGAGTCCTAATGATTACAATAGTTGTAAATTTTTTGCACAAGAAATGCTTTCCAAATCATTTTCTTTTGTATTCGACATTTTAGCATATCTTTTGTCCGATTTCCATCAAGTAAATTCAGTTTCAATGCAAACGGGTGAATAACCATTTGAAATAATGTTAACAGTTAGGTGAACCTTCTACGTACATCCGAAATTAATTTGAAACAAAAAAACTATAGAAATCCGAACTCTAGTGCTCAATTTTCTAATATCATGAGTATAATATTTCCTTTCGATCATGCCGGTCATATATGGACCGTTGAACTAGCATTATGTATCATATGGGTATCTTAGCACGGCTCTAAAAAGTTCTCTTTGTCGATTTTTGATCGAAAATTGTCATTTAATTTGATTTCATTGAGTGAAATATTCTGAAACGATCTTTTGAGAAGTTTCCATTAAAGGAGAGGAAAAGATTCTTTGTCTTGATCATCAATCAAGAATTTCTCCTTCGAACAAATTTTTTTTATTGAAAGTTTCAAATTCTACTAAATTTGCCAACCTAACGATGATTCGTTTTCTTCTGAAATATTTCTAGCCGATATTCGATGTTTTAAGACGATGCATGAATGAGATGAAATCAATAATAATCACATTTCTCCGGTTGATTTTCATGTCAAATTAATGAACATAAATTCGAATAGTTGTGCAAAGACACTTGTTGCTCACCACGAAGTAGTGGCGGATTTTTTCTTTTACATTGATAAATTGAGAAAGCAAAAGAGTTTTATGTTGAATAATTTCGTCGTCATTCTTTTCATTGTCGTATATGATGCAACAAATAAAGTGCAAACAGTGCTCACATATGAAGATTCGTGAGACTAGGGTCGTATTTCTACTACCATTTTCAATCTTATAACGATTCTACTTTATTTCTCAACGTACTAACTGTCGAAATGAATAGAACAAAAAAAAGACTTGTATAACGATGAAAGAAGACATACACCATCAACATAAACACCTGCATGATAAGTGATAAAAAAAAGCCAATATGAGGAAGAATCTTAACGACGAAATGAGAGATTATCATCGTGAAGCTATTTTAACAAATCAATCTGGAGTTGTTTAACTGCATCGGCAAATTGATCAGATGAAATTCTACCTTGTTGGAAGTCCAAGTATAATTTGTCGATTGATGATTTGAACAAAATATCCTTGTTCTAAAAAGATAAATCAATATCATGTGAGTGATGAAAAATTTATCTACTTCTTCTTCTTTCTGAGACATATTGGTGTACTATTGAATGAAACGTTCTTGACAATGATAAGACAAAGAAAGAAGAAACAAGCTATATATACTCATTGTAAATGAGGACAAAGAGGATATCAACGGACACGATTGAATGAATATCATTGTTCATTATGAACTCGGACGACTGAATAGCCAAAACAAATAATAGTCCAAACAAAACGAACTGTGTGCTGTCTTTTTTCTGACTGATTAACCTCCTGTTCTTTTCGTTCTGTTGGAAACGAACAGTAAGATGGCGAATCACTCTCTCTCTAGCGAATATAGCTGGTGAACAATGTGACAGAACGAAAGAAAGTATCTCGTGTCTTCATTTTATCTTTAATTAGAAAACATACATGAACATTAGATGAGATTTTGCTCTCTACAGATGAAGATGATAAGACGAAATGATCAGGAAGTTCACCATCGGCCTATGCAAGCAAAAAGTATTTGAAAAGTTTCAGGATTTTTCTTACTTCATCAGGGATATTCATGATAGCTTCATCTAAAACATTTAAAGCATCGCGACGTTGTTGAACCATGTCTAGGAATTCTTTCGTATGAAATTTTTCCATATGAACAAATAACATTTTCAGTACATTTATCGAAAAATCCCGACAAAATGGACATTCATATTGATGTCCTGTATGGAAAAATGATCGCTGTCATTTTATTTAAAATGTGCTAACAAACTTTTCACTTACCAATTCTACGGAACGAATAACCATCTAAAATCTTAAGAATGGCATTTGTGACCATCTAAAAGAAAATCGAGACGAGGGTATCTGTGTTATTATGTTATTATGTATATGTACAGTGATGTTGTCTCGGACATGTAAAGAGTGTTTATGACTAGTGAATTTGAAGGAGAGAGACGGGAAAACAAAACGAACATACACGATAGAAAAAGAACGAAAAAAAAAAAGCACATGTCTCTGTCTGCAAAAGACAATAAATGAATCTATCGTACTACTTTAGTCAGTATAGATAGAATTTCGACAGTATAGACGACGGTCCAATACGATCAGAATATCAATCATAAATGAATAGATAATATGATTTGATTGATGAGAAGCTGTACTGTATTCATATAAACTGAAACACAGGAATAACTTTTATTCAACCTGTTAAATGCACTGAGGATGATCAATATGTATGAGTGAGATCTATTTTTCGATGGTTATCATGTATCACATTTGACGTGTGTTTATCTAATGTACAAAAAACGCAAGGTGTTTCTATACGTTATGCTAGCCCATATAACACTAAGATAACGTATATGAGTCACATACTAAATGATAAAATTTATCTTTTAAATGAAAAAAATGGAATCAATTAAGCGTTCAATTTGAAGTATATTTAAATGGGAAGCAAAAAAGCTTGGATATAGTTAATGTTCAAAAAAAAGTAATCCGATTCCTTTGACTAAATCGTTAAGATCAGTAATATTTCAACAGATCAATCCAATCGAGGATTCGGTTCCGTACGGATAATCGAAAGAGTCAATTGTGAGAAAATATTCTTCTAGAAGATTTCGATGTTCTTCCATAACAAGAAATAATCACATCATTAACAATTAAAGTTCCTTCGACAGTAAGTGGTGCGTATACATCATACAGTTGAATATCAATTATCCGAAGGATTTTTACTTCAACAACTGGATGAGAACTGTTTTTCATCAAATATAAATAATCGCCAATTTTAGCTTTGTCTGCAAAGAGACACTTTCCTTGCGATTGATCTGCCTTTCGGACAAGTACGGAATGCTTTGGAGTGAGACGTAATGATTGAATACCAACGTTCGATTCGAATTCCATCTGAAGATAATTCACAAAAGAATTGTTCTTATATTTCTGAAATATATCCATTGCAATGACTAGACTTGGACGGATTTTGATTTCTTTCTCATTGTTTTGATGACCCACAAGAATCTTATCACCTATTTTCACATCNAATTTTTCCATATGAACAAATAACATTTTCAGTACATTTATCGAAAAATCCCGACAAAATGGACATTCATATTGATGTCCTGTATGAAAAAATGATCGCTGTCATTTTATTTAAAGTGTGCTAACAAACTTTTTGCTTACCCATTCTACGGAACGAATAATCATCGAAAAGCTTAATAATGGCATTTGTGACCATCTAAAAGAAAATCGAGACGAGGGTATCTGTGTTATGATGTATATGTACAGTGATGTTGTCTCGGACATGTAAAGAGTGTTTATGACTAGTGAATTTGAGGAAGAGAGACGGGAAAACAAAACGAACATACACGATAGAAAAAGAACAAAAAAAGAGGCACATGTCTCTGTCTGCGAAAGACAATAAATGAATCTCTCGTACTACTTTAGTCAGTATAGATAGAATTTCGACAGTATACCCAGACAGACAAAACTTTCAAAAATACGCGTAAAAACGCTTGAAAATGTGCGCTTTTTGCGAATTTATGTTCGTTAGGACTTAACGCAGTTTTACGCGTTTTATTCTTGTAAAAAACGTGTAAAAATGCGTATTTTAATAGAAAAAACTGTAAAAGGCGTAGTAAAACTTTTACGAGTTTATTCGCGTTAAAATTGTACCATGTCTTTTGCAGTTTTTTCTATTAAAATACGCGTTTTTACACGTTTTTTACAAGAATAAAACGCGTAGAACTGCGTTAAGTTCTAACGAACATAAATTCGCAAAAAGCGCACATTTTCAAGCGTTTTTACGCGTATTTTTGAAAGTTTTGTCTGTCTGGGTATAGACGACGGTCCGATACGATCAGAATATCAATCATAAATGAATAGATAAGATGATTTCATCGATGAGAAGCTATACTATATTCATCTAATCTGAAACACAGAAATAACTTTTATTCAACCTGTTAACCGCGCTGAGGATGATCAATATGTATGAGTGAGTTCTCTTTTTCGATGGTTATCATGTATCACATTTGACGTGTGTTTATCTAATGTACAAAAAACGCAAGATGTTTCTATACGTTATGCTAGCCCATATAACACTAAGATAACGTATATGAGTCAAATACTAAATGATAAGACTTATCTTTTAAATGAAAAAAATAGAATCAATTAAGTGTTCAATTTGAAGTATATTTAAATAGGAAGCAAAAACGCTTGGGTATAGTTAATGTTCAAAAATAAATAAATAATCCGATTCCTTCGACCAAAATGTTAAGATCAGTAACATTTCAACAGATCAATCCAATCGAGGATTCGGTTCCGTACGGATAATCGAAAGAGTCAATTGTGAGAAAATATTCTTCTAGAAGATTTCGATGTTCTTCCATAACAAGAAACAATCACATCATTAACAATTAAAGTTCCTTCGACAGTAAGTGGTGCGTCTGCATCATACAGTTGCATATCAATTATCCGAAGGATTTTTACTTCAACAACTGGATGAGAACTGTTTTTCATCAAATATAAATAATCGCCAATTTTAGCTTGGTCTGCAAAGAGATACTTTCCTTGCGATTGATCTGCCTTTCGGACAAGTAAGGAATGCTTTGGAGTGAGACGTAATGATTGAATATCAACGTTCGATTCGAATTCCATCTGAAGATAATTCACAAAAGAATTATTCTTACATTTCTGAAATATATCCATTGCAATGATTGGACTTGGACGGAATTCGATTTCTTTCTCATTCTTTTGATGAGCCACAAGAATCTTATCACCTATTTTCACATCACGTATTTTCACTCGAGATCCATCTTCTCGAACTAAAAGTCCATCACCATTCAAACAAACTACAAAAAGAAAAGAAACCAGTCGAATTATTGAACATAATTAAGAAAATGTTTGCTCAACTTGGTCTTTTCGTTGTTGTTGTCATTGGTGCTGGAGGAGTGACTGGATTACGTTTTACAAAGATATATGTGAAAGAGGCTATAATAGCCAAAAGAATGATTCCACCGACAATGATTGCTGTCAAAATCACGGCTTGATAACGATGTCTTTGGGATGGAATTTCTTCATGATTTTCATGTGCAGGAGAACGCACTATCGTATGAGTATTGGACAACATGAGATATTGATTCGGAATCTGTTGTTGAGAACTAATTGCTTCATGATATAATGGTGGTGTCAGTAAATGATCCTTTAAATGTAATTCACCAGATCTCGACATTGATTTCAATAAAAACCCCTTCTCCCATTTAACCATGTATTTACCCAGTTAAGATAAGCTGAAGGGATACCTAAACGAGAAGGTTTACTTATACATCCCAGAAACCATAACTGGTCGAAAGGTGAGCGAAAATGTGCAAATACAGTACCTATAGGACTACTATTCGACATCATACTACGTAAATCTTCAAGAAATAATAATACTCGAGTTTGTAAACGAAAATGTTCATGAAAACCTGACTGATTGTCAGTAGAAGTGCTCTTCTAGAGAGGAAATTACGAAAACGTTTAAGAAGAATTTTCTCACCAACTTTCTGAAAAGAATCAAGTAAAGAAACGGGACGAGTGACTGATGGAGGAGAAATGTGTTTCTTTTTCGCTAATAATACTGTTCGAGTATCTTTCCATGCAGTAGGTAAAATAAAATTCTTGAAAGAGTGATTATAGAGTTTTAACAATAGAGACCAACAATCGATATGAAGGAAACTGTTATAGGCGACATCTCTCTCAGATACATGTACGTTTATTTCTCTCTCTCTGCCTAGATCAATCGTTATACCTTCTATCTCCTTAAATCTTTTGTATTAGTGATATCTATTCACTCTTCTTTGTATGTGTGCATATAAATATGTACGTGTGATAGCGTGAAGAGAGAGCAACGAGAGGAGTGTTTTTCCACGCGTGTAACTCTTTTCATTTTCCACAATAAACTAAGAAGTATCGAAACACGAACCTCTTGTCTCTAATAGAAACCAAACATATAATTCGCAATACCATGTGCATCAAAAGATTTCTTCTTACGTTTATTGTGAACAGTATGGATGTGGCCTAACTATGTTAGAACTTTTGAAAAAATTTTCATAATGATTTGCTGCAAGCTCACACATCTGTTGACTATCTCTGATAATTTCTCCTGATGTATTAACAAGAGCATGAATAGACGACGAAGAAGGTTTTAAAAATGTTTACNTTGAACATAATTAAGAAAATGTTTGCTCAACTTGGTCTTTTCGTTGTTGTTGTCATTGGTGCTGGAGGAGTGACTGGATTACGTTTTACAAAGATATATGTGAAAGAGGCTATAATAGCCAGAAGAATGATTCCATCGACAATGATTGCTGTCAAAATCACGGCTTGATAACGATGTCTTTGGGATGGAATTTCTTCATGATTTTCATTTGCAGGAGAACGCACTATCGTATGAGTATTAGACAACACAGGATATTGATTCGGAATCTGTTGTTGAGAACTAATTGCTTCATGATATAATGGTGGTGTCAGTAAATGATCTTTTAAATGTAATTCACCAGATCTCGACATTGATTTCAATAAAAACCTCTTCTCCCATTTAACCATGCATTTACCCAGTTAAGGTAAGCTGAAGGAATATCTAAACGAGAAAGTTTACCTATACATCCCAGAAACCATAACTGGTCGAAAGGTGAGCGAAAATGTGCAAATACAGTACCTATAGGACTACTATTCAAGAGCATACTACGTAAATCTTCAAGAAATAATAATACTCGAGTTTGTAAACGAAAATGTTCATGAAAACCTGACTGATTGTCAGTAGAAGTGCTCTTCTAGGGAGGAAATTACGAAAACGTTTAAGAAGAAGTTTCTCACCAACTTTCTGAAAAGAATCAAGTAAAGAAACGGGACGAGTGACTGATGGAGGACAAATGTGTTTCTTTTTCGCTAATAATACTGTTCGAGTATCTTTCCAAGCAGCAGGTAAAATAAAATTCTTGAAAGAGTAATTATAGAGTTTTAACAATAGAGACCAACAATCGATATGAAGGAAACCAAACATATAATTCGCAATACCATGTGCATCAAAAGATTTCTTCTTACGTTTATTGTGAACAGTATGGATGTGGCCTAACTATGTTAGAACTTTTGAAAAAATTTTCATAATGATTTGCTGCAAGCTCACACATCTGTTGACTATCTCTGATAATTTCTCCTGATGTATTAACAAGAGCATGAATAGACGACGAAGAGGGTTTTAAAAATGTTTACTTCTATGTCAAAACAAATTAGCTGCAGATGAAGAAGAATTCCTCACTCATAAATGATAGTCAAATTTAGAAGAAAAGTAATGATTCAATTCTTTTTTGGCGATTTTTGTCCGGAATAGTATCTTCTTTTTTAAATTAGAACACTTTGTTCTTAATTGACGAAAAGAAAGAGCTCTAATATACGATAAGAAAGATCGCAATTCAACTGATAATTCTGAACGATATTTATCTCGAGCAAAAAAGTGGTATAACGATTAGATAACAATGAAAGACAGCGAATATAATTATTATAAATAATATCAATAGAGGAGAAATTCCAATTCTCCTCCCAAAAGGAGAAGGTATATTCAGAAAAAATTGAGAAACCTTTCCAATGAACTTTTCTACCTAGCTTTTGACGTGAAGTTTTAAAAGAAATAATAGAAATTACAGGTTTATGATCACTAGTAATGTTTCCATTATATCTTTGTAAGTCAACACCTAAACCACGAATAATAAGTGCACAATCGATCATTCTGTTTGAACGAAGAGAAGTTGCAGATGAAGGAATAGTTGGAGTTAGATAAGTATGATCACTCCATTCTGGAAGTGATTCAATTTTCTTCATATCCTGAAGAATATCAACATTAAAATCACCATAAACAACACATTTTTGAGTTATAAATATTGTCAGATAATCTCATGACCAAGATTTACTATCAGGTGAATAAACACCTATTAACCTAAAATTCTCTTCACTTTTGATGTCAACAACATATACAGGGTGTAACATAACCTTTACGCCCCCTCTTTACAACCTAATGAATCAATGGTATAGTCAACTATTTTATACCAGATTAGAGCCCATCACAAACTGCATTTAAGGGTGTAATTAGATTTAACAGTAGCTAGACATTTATAAAAGTATCGTGAATCATATAGCAAAATCGCGTAAATTATACAATCTCGAATCAGAGAAAGAACTAAGACGTCACTTTTCCTCATTCAAATGACTTGTTGATTAATTGTAGTTGAAAGTCATTTGAAACGGTATTAAATCTGTATTCTGCCATACCAGAGTCCTATCTGTTTGAGGCAATTCTCGCTCGCAATTGTTATGTTCGACTCCTGCGAAACACGTGTTTGCTATTTATTAAAAAAGAATTGACTACCCACGGCTAACAGCGTAAAGGAGGAACAGAGAAAAGGGTAAGAATCAGTTTATATACGCAAAGATGCACGGACAGATAAGAGAAGAATGTAGAGAAAAGAGAATAACAATGGGCACTGATTCAAGTTACGTTATTTCTCATTCATTGTGTGTGTATGTGTGTCAGTCGTACAAATAACTGCTTCGATAGCAATAGAAAGTAAATTATGTTTACAATAGAACAAGCCTGTGATGCATAAATTTAGTGAATCTGAATGGCTGGTCTTCTACATGACTCAGAAGAGCAGCGATTTGTAGACAGAGTTTGCTGTATCACATATAGCGAGATACGTGATGAAAAGATTGAATCAACAGGAAACTCATTTATCACCCGTCAATCGATTTCTAAAACGCTCCGCCGTAGTGAAGATTGGGTAAGACAACATTGGAACAATACAGTCGAAGAGTGTTATACAAAATTTGGAACTGGGCGACCCCATGTGCTCTCCTAGGAGAGCAAAAATATTATTTCTTCTGCAAGTAGTGTAAGGGGAAGTGGCTCTCGAAATGTTGCAAGTGTAATTTTGGAAAAAGCGAGTCATATGACTGTTCATCGTGAGCGCCATCAACAAGGATTGAAACTTTTCCACGTGATTGCAAAGCCATTGAGGACAAGTGCACATGTTGAAGATTGCAAATGACTCGCAAATTATGTTGCTGATTGGATCGAAGAAGATTTCCTACATGTCGCACATTCGGATGAATTTTATATTTATGCGGTAAGAAAACCAAACCATCAAAATGATAGAATTTGGGCGAAAACTATCGAAGACACCAACGACGATGAAAGGCACCGTGAAATGGTTCAAGATACACGATGCATCGGAATTTTTATTACGTTTACCGCAAAGAAACTTCTTTGGGTTCTGAAGGAAGAGGAATAATTTTGGGATGGCGCCTACTTTCGCGAGATTATTCTTCAGCAACATGTGTTTCCATTTCTGCGCAACCCAAACAATGTGCTTGATGCAGACGAAGTCTTATTTCTTCATGATAAGGCCCCATGTATGAAGGCCAATGCAACAAAGCATCTTTTAGAAGATGAAGGACTCCAGTTCTGGGGGGAATTCGATTTGGCCTGGCAACAGCCCTGATATGAACCCGACAGAAAACATTGGTGCAATTATCAAGGATAAAGTTGAAGAATTAACGGAACTCATGTTATGAATAAACTAGCTGTCGTATGACACACAATTCAAATCGGTGAGCGGTACAGTAGTTCTTTCTCTGATTCGACATTATATAATTTACGCGATTTTGCTATATGATTCACGATACTTTCATAAATGCCTGGTTACTGGTAGATCTAATTGCACCCTTAGATGCAGATTTTGATGGGCTCTAGAATCTGGTATAAAATAGTTGACTATACCATTGATTGATTAGGTTGTAAAGAGGGAGCGTAAAGGTTATGTTACACCCTATATTTCTAACTGAAAACCAATTAAAATAAGACAATCTTAAGCAGCTTTTAATCAAATTTCATGATTTTAGTTGTTTCTCTTTGTTTTGTGCAAAGTGTAAGTGGAATTCATGCAGGAGAAATATATCTTTCAATATCTTATCGAAAAAGAGATAAGATTTTTTGAATTCGTATCATCTTCCTTCTCAACCCTTAAAAAAGTCTATAAAACTTCTAAAAATCTCTTAAATTCAATATTAAAAATTTCCCATAACTCTTCCTATTTAATATCAATAAACACCATTTCATTTCCTGGAGAACTCTATTGATACACCCCGTGAAATAATATTATTTCCAACCCTATAGATTGAGAGTTAAACAACTTTTCCAAAGAAAAACACATATGTCAATCAAAAGTTATATAAAAACGCAATTTTCAACAAAATAATTCAATTTTAAGTGAATATGTTTCACTGTGCTTATGTTCATAGTAAAATTTACATGATAATATGATCTAGCCTAGTGCAACTTTGTAGAAAGAAATCATTCCAATTCTGTTTGGGTTGATTTCGAAAGGAAGAAAAAAAGTGATATAAATAAATAATAATTACCTATGCATTTACATTGATTGACAAGAGATGATTTCGATAAATAACTATAACAAATTCAATAACGTTGACCATATCTGATAATTAACATATTGCAAAACACCAATATGAATCGTGAAATTGATTGAAATATTAATGAATATTATTTTTCTGACGAAAAAAACCTTGCATCAATAATGAATAACAAAATATTATGTAGCATAAAATATTGGCCTATCAACCATAACGTCAAGTCCGATCACATACGATCATCAACCAATTGGTTATGAAAGAAGATTAGCAAAAATATTGATTATAAATGAAAGCACTTTAATCATCTCTTCTTTTCGTGTGATAAATTGTAAATATAGATAACATTATATCTTCTTACTATTTCTGCTGCTAGTTTTGCATTTATTGATTTTTTAATCAATGTTGCACAAATTGATGCGTTTGACACGAACGTTACCCAAGTTGGATTAATAGGAGTACAACTTGCTTTTGATGTTGATGCATCTTCTTTATCTTGCCTTTTTGATAAAAAGATATAATTGACACCTTCTGAATCAACTTTCTTCATCAATACCAAAATCCTCTACGAAATGATTGATGATAGAGATATTTAAGATGCGATCAACAGAAAATTTGAGCACCTTTTTAATTTCCACTAAAACATAGATTATGTAATTCAGTTTTTGTTATGAACCTTTTCGATCCCTATGGCACCTCGTAGATGCCATACAGGACGCAAAAGAAATATTTTGCGTTCTGCCGTCGAATATGTCGACGAATATCATATGGTGTGTTCGAAGAGAAAAGAGAAGACATCTGATCTAGAAGACGCTGTAACGATAATTATCGATATTTCGTTGCACATTCAGTGCTGGTTCATTTCTTTATTGAACTTCAGTCGTGCTGTCAAGAGCATGTTCCATTTTAGTTTATTTCTCTTTTATATGTTCGAAGTAAGATGATATTTTTCAAACCAATTAGGAAAATAAATAGCTGGAGTCTCTCCACAAGTTTTACAATAATAAATAGTCATTTTTCGGCCCCCATTTTTGTGACACACTACGCATCGTCTCTGTATATGACGATTTGATTCAGAACTGATGTCGGTTTTATCTAAAAAAAACTTGTAGGCTTATACTAAATCAAGATTGATGTTTTAGATAAAACAAAACTCACTTGAAAATGTTGAATAGTTGTCGTGAGCATTACTTTGGGACTACGATCAGCGGAGTTTGTCGAACTAGATCGTTTTTGTTTTGGTGTAACGGTTATCTCTGATTTTCGCACAACACCTGTTGCTTCCAGTGTATCTTTTACATAACTAAAAACATACGATAGTTTTTCTACCTAATTACATTAGCTCTTACCTCTTCAAAAAATCTTCTAGTGTAGTATTCAGATTTGACTGTTTGTATATTATATATGAATTGTATAGAAGACGAGTAAAAAAGTGAATACCTAACTTGAGAAATCATCTATATGTTTTTCTATTGATAAATGTATGCTGCGAGGCACTATCAGACAAATCCACACCACCCATATTCCTGTTGTATTCAATAATACTGTTAGAGTTTAGAATGCTTTTCCTCGCACTACCTATAATGAAGACTTGCGAGTGATTATAGCAAAAAAGATAGTGCATTACCTTTTTCATATCGTTCTATTGCTGACTTTCCAGCAACTCCTTTTGAATCGATAACGAAGATTTCTTTTTCGCCAGACGCTTTTTTGTCTTGAAATTTCGCAAGAAGAAGTTCCCCACTTCTCATGAAAGCAGAATCAGGCGCATTCAGTTTTTTTTGTTGCTAGTTCTTTTGGAATTCCTAAATATAATTGAAAAATATTTTTTTAATTTAATTCTATAAATATTAGGCGATTTTTTTTATTCTCGAGATTTTCACTATTTCATCGTATGGCTTCGTCTTCATCTCTCAAACGCTCAATCGATGATGATGAATCATACAAAGAAAATATACCATTAGATAAAAAAATGAACTTAGGATATATTTCATTCCAATCTAAAATTATTGATATGTCCAAGAAGAACAATTTGATCGCACCATTTAAACCTCTAGGTAAAAAAGAGCTAAGATGAGAAAGGTTATTCTGCGTGTCATATGATATGAACATTCATGGCGAAAAATTTTTTCATTTCACCAGAAGTGACTTAAAATAAGTTTGTATTTGAATAATATTGTCTATAAATTGTTTTATCTTACTTCACGCCAAGAAATTTCACTATTTGTAGGTATATTTGAGAAATGTAGTCTAGCACGAATATTCGTGCATTCTGCAATATGATTGAAAAGATAGTCAGGCAGCTTTTTGCTGTAAACATCTGAAGGTATCGGGCATCCTGGAAGTGCAAAATTCGGTCCTGGTGATTCGTTGAAATCAGGCAAAGCTTTTGGTCGACAATCAGTTTGTTCTTGAATAAATATTCATTCCTCTTGATTGTTTTTTCGTATACGACTAGCTTCCGTAGAAATAATTTTCAGTGGATATATGTTTTCGTCATCACAACAAGATAATCTTATCCAACATCGTATGGTATGGAAACTATAATATCACCTGTACTCTTCACTTTCATCCGATTTTGAATGAGCAATCTTCTTTTTATCATCGATGTCATTCAAGTTATTATTCGTTATCGGTCGTAAGATTCAATTTGACTCATATGCTATTTCGTCATCACTATAACTATAATATAGCATTGTTAGCGAAATATTATCGTGGAAACTTTTACTTATCAAATATACTCTTCACTTTCAGCCGTACATGCCTTGCATTCTTCTTCAGCATCATCAAAATCGGAATCATCGAGAGTTTTGGCACACTTATTTATTTTTCATCTTGTTCAAAAATATTATCATTATTGCTTGTTATTTCGATTATTCAATACAAATGATTTACTTAGTTTTTCAAATTCAATCTGCTCATTACGCGTGGTTTGTTTTTGAATATAGATCTCTTGTCTGATAATGTGTCTATCAATGACGACGATCGATATGAAATGCAGTCGATTGAAACGACAGAACGCAAGAGAGAGAGAAATTTTCTTTTGTTTTCATGTTTGTGCAGAACGCAAGAAAAATGTCGGGATCGAAAGGGTTAATCATGAATATATTCTGACTTTGTCGAAAGTCAGAATATATTCGTGATCAGCATCAAAAACTGAATTACATCATCTATGTTTTAGCAGAAAATAAAAAGTGCGCAAGTTTTTCATTGGGCGTGCAGGATAAAAATATATTTTGGGCGGACCTGTACTTGATAAGTTCGTACTTCGAGTATAATAAAACCTTATGATGCTTTATACCTTTGCGTTACGGTGTACGTCTTATATAAAAAGAAAAGGTATTTATTCTTCGTTGATAAACAAATATTGTTGTGATAATGGTTTGGTTGAGACTCTTTGCGTTAGTTCGGCATTTCTATTTCAATTATAACTATGTCGATACAAATTTACCATATGTTCATTCATTATTCGTTCGGCGTTTCCAACTCTCAATCCGAATGGTGATTGCATTTCTTATCAGTGCTTTCCTTGTCTATGCAACAGGATTGCATAATCAACTCTCACAAGCATTTATAATTCCTCTTATTTGTACGTTAGTTATCCAGGACACATTTGGTGCAACAGTAGCTGCTTCTTTTCAAATGTTATTTACACTTACTCCTGTTTCAATCTTTCTATTTATTATTCAAAAAATTGGTCTTGGTTATCACGATTACATTGCAGCTGAATTTACATTGCTTGCCGCAGCTTTTTTTATTGGCTTCGTTGGTTCACAGGTACATATAACAAGATTCTCTCTTGCTCTCAGAAAACTTGATTTTTTTTTAAAAAAGATACCTATTGAATACCCATAAGTATAACGATAAAAATGATCATAAATAAAAATATTTCTTTAGGCTCAAAGTCGTAAAATACCTTTGGTAATATGTGCAATATTTTTTGCAACGATTGTTAATCAAAACAATGTTCCATCAACATTTGCTTTTCAATTACTTGAATCATTTGCTATTGGAATTTGTATATGTTTACTTGTTTCCTTGATTATTTTACCTTCTTTTGCGACAATCGATATTGAAAATCGTGTTAAATATATTTTATTAAATCTTAATGATATGCATATGTTAATCGTTCAATCGTTCTTACGTGAAGATGAAATAGATGCACAAGCATCACTTACTCGAGTAACAACAATTGAACAAATGATTGAAGAAGCTATGAGTCCAATACAAATGAAACTTATTTTTGCTCGTTTTGAACCAGCAAGACTTCTTCAATGGATTTATAATCGCAAAAGACGAAATATAATCGATTTAACATTACAAGGTTTGTTTTTTTCGATAGAAAAAAATATACAGAATTTCGATTTTCATCATGGGAAAGTGCAGATGAAGATTTATAGGCAGACCTTTTGAGGAGAAAATGAGGCGGTAAAGTATTTTTTAACCCGTAAAACACTTTCGCTGTTGTATAGTCACCAGTAACAGTTTTGTACTTCTTGATCGAGATCATTCTCAGAAATCATGGAGTTACTATGACGCTAATGTATTTTTCTAAAAGCTTTATGCTAGATTGAGAGGAAAGCGTTTATGCGCCGTGATCCTCACCCCAAGAGAGAAACAGCAGACCTCAAGGTTCCGAAATTCCGTAGATTGTACTGAACTCCAAAATCTTGAATTCTATTATTTTCCCATTGTCTCATCCTCACACCTATAACGATGCGCAGTTTTGGTTTACTGACTTCCGAAGCCTATACATGTCAGTAAAATTCGGTGTTTCAATCTCTACAGTGCTGCGATGCGCTTGTTGTCACTGATGTCTGTGCTGATAGTGACAGTTCTCTAGTATTTGCACTGAAACTGCGTATCCCTAGCACCTCCACGCGCCCTCAATAACACGGCAAACGAAATTTTTTCTCAACGTAGTATAATAAGTTAGGGAAAATAGTTAGAGAGATTTTCTTATATAGATTTTGATTTATCTGCATCTCGTCTTTCCAATGACGAAAATTGCAGCTCTATATGTTGTTTCTTTCGAAAGTTATTTGTAATGGACATTCGTTTTTGTTGTCTTTTTCTCTTTTAGAACAAGAAAATTTGATTACATCATTATTTCTTCATGTCCGTTCGATGCATTCGATGGTTAAACAATGTCAATTTAATGAATATCATACTGAATTTATACGAGATATTCGAGAAAGTCTTTTACATTTATGTTCATGTCAAACAATAATAATAAATTCTATAACAAAACATAGCTCAATAACAAAAAATCAATTTATGTATTATATATCAAATCTGTCTCAATCTCGACAAAGACTTAATATAATCCATGAAACTGGTCTTCTTAATCGTATGGAATATGCACTTATATCTAATACAAATATTCGATCAGATAGTCAGCTTCAACATGCTTTCTTTCTTTTTCAAATTCATATGATTGTACGACTTCTAATCGACACACCGGTAACAAAAGAGAAAAAAACTAAGATACAAAAACCTGAAAAGGCAAGTTTAAAAGAACGTTTAATACCAAAATGGTCACGAATAGCTATAGCATTAAAAACGACAATTATCATTGGAATTGGTTCAATTTTTGTTATGGTACCAACTTTAGTAACAACATTTGAAAATGGTCAATGGATTTTTATTGCTCTTTGTATGACACAAGGAGATACGGTTGGTGGAGCATTTACAACAATGCAAATGAGACTTTTTGGAACTTTACTTGGTAAAAATTTACACAAATTAAATCTTTGTTTAATTCTTTTGGGATTTTTTCTATAGGAGCTATGTGGGGATATATTACATTTTTAGCAGTTGGAGAAAATATTTATAATACGTGTGGCATGTTAGTTCCATGGATTCTTTTCTTTGGTTATATAAGATCATTACCGAATTGGACATATACAGCTGTTGTAGCTATATTTACTCCAATACTTATTAATCTGGGTCGACTTGCTTATACAACTCCAGTGCCTGAGGAAAATTTTGTTCTTCTTAGAATTGAAGAAAATGTTATTGGAATTGCTCTTTCGGTTATTCTAACTGTAATTATATTTCCAGTATTTGCGATAGATTTACTTAAAAACAATATTAAAAGTTAGTTAATAGAAATTTATATGAATATCTTTTTTAATCAATAGAATTCTTTAGATACACTCAAATCTTTTTGTGAAAGTGTTAATTGTATACGGTCGATTTATATGAAATTATCTTTTGATGAAAATTCAAAGGATATAGTTTTAGACATTGAACAAGAAAGAGAAATTGAATCATTTTTTGCAGCTCAAAGAAATCAATTTGATCAACTTATTACAGCTCAACGAATGGGTATTCAACAAATTACAGTTGAACCTACTTTTATTTCAATTAATAACTTTCCATCTACACATTATACAACACTTATTGAACAACAAATAGATATCTGTCAAATTTTACATACTATTGACGCATCAGTAAGTTATTTTTTATCATACGTTGAACTAGCGATCGAATTTCTGTCATCGGATTTACTCGGTTTTACTTGGAACCGACAAGAACTTGTCATAACCGATAGTCGGATACGATTTCCGGTTTCCTTAGCAGGATTCCAGACACTTTCCCATGGTATCCAACGCGGAAAACATATATATACTACAGGTATTCGTCGAAAATAAGCGGAATCCTGCTTCTAGGATCCACCGTCCTGGATGACTAAGGGTATACAGAGTTCACTTCACAAACCGACTCAAATCAGCTAAAGAACTGAACTAAATCGATGTGAACTCTATGAACAATTCTTTTCGATAAGCATTGAACTCTCTAGTCGTGCTTCAACAGACACGGTTATCCTTATAGTACAGCACTTGAGAACCCATGGATAACCATGCTTGTTGAAACACGAATAGAGAGTTCAATGTTCATCGAAAGAGATTGATTATAGAGTTTACATCGGTTTAGTTAAGTTTACAAACTGAACTAGAGAAAAAGTGAACTGTTATAAGGTCGGATATATCGAATGCTATTCAAATTTCTCGAGAACATCTTAGTATCTTCTTATTTTTCGATTGAAAATTATCCAGTCGCGAATAGAGTTTGATAAATTTGATTGAATTATTCATATGTTACTTTAATTTAGTTAATGTATATGAATGAATGTTTCTTTATCAGAGGAGATGAAATACATTCAATTGGAAAGGAATTTTTTCATCAATTTCGAAAAGAATTATCAAGTATAAATAAGCAATTAAATGACTATTTCGATTTATGGCTATCTTATTTTAAACTTAGTCAAACACGATATCATCGATTGTTTAATGATGGAATTTTTAATAATGAAGAATTACTCAAAATTGAAATGTTAAAGCAAGATCCATATCTGATCGAATTACGTGAAACAGTTCATCGTCTTGAAAACAAACATCAAAATGGTATAGATGATATATTCAATCGTTTCATCGATTTATTAATTGAAGGAATATCACCTTCGAGAATTCTTCCATACAGAAAAGACAATAAAAATGATTTATTCTTACTCGCGATTTCGACTATGTATTATTCAACAATTCGCTTAATAAAATCAACGATTGCTATTGGTACAACTATTCATAATATTTTTGAAGATGAAACAACACATCGATATACTAGTTATTAGTTTTTTTACTTTCATTGATCAAATAATAAAATATTTAGAAATTTTAATCGCAATCTCGAGGGTAGCATGAAAATATAAGCATAGATTTTGTATTTAATTTACATTTACACTCATCCTCAAATGCAGAATTCATATTGAAACTATTTTATTGCAACGAATTGTCCGTTCAATAATAAATATAACTTTTGCCTTCTGTGCTTCTTCTTTTATCGTTCTGTCTGTCAGTAATGATGCAAAGAAGAAGAAAAAGAATAGCGTAATAAAAATCCGTGGGTTCAGACGAAGTGAATTTCTATTTCCTCGCACGTTATTGAGTCATTCTCTTCTTGTAACTCTACAAAAAAAAGAGAGAAATGCTTCTATTCTTCAGCAGTGTCAAAATCGAAAGTTGAATTGAATTATTTAACTATTCAAAGAACGTATAAGTCGTATAGTTCGTATCCTCAGCATAGCGCATATAGCCCGTACAGTTCGTATGGTCCGTATAAGCCGTGTAGAAGCTATATACTATTTTCGTACCGTTTATATAAGCTACATTGAAGGTCAAAGAGAATTTCTCAACTTTCAAGGTGGAAATCAGGAACTTCCTCGCGACTTCCATACGACTGCAGGTGCTATACAGTTCATACATCCTATATTTCCTATACGACTTATACGAACCACTCGAACTATACGGATTATAAGCACTATGCCGACTAAACGTTCTGAAGTTATTCTTGAAAGAAAGAATGACTGATATAGAATCTTGATAATATTTCGCGGAATCCTCACTATGATGAAGCCCCACTCACACCCTTTCCTATACCGTCATCTTCCTCTCAAGTATAATACTTGAATTCAAATTTGGAGTATTACATTTATGCGAGACTGTAGCGACTCAAAATTTCAGGAACAATATTGTTCATTCGCTCATTAATCGTTTCCAATCTGTTGATAACCTCTTCCGATTTACAATGCTCCGCTAGTTTTCGATGGAGACCAACAACGATGTCTGTTAATTGCTGTGCTTCACCAAAACCATCTGTCTCTAATAGATACCCAATCGATTCGATATTACTCAAGAAGATGATCGAAAGAGTTTTATCAATACGTTGGGAAAAGCTTCGAAGACGATCACAAGTATATTCATCTAGTAAGTTCATAATTAACGATTTTTCCAAGACGAATCGAACCTTATTAATCTTATATTTCAGATTTTGAACACATTGCTGATTTTGTTCGTCTTTCTGGAACTTCTCTTCGAGACTATTGACATCACGTTCAATATCATTCATTAAGTTATGTAGAGAAGATTGAAGACTTTATATTTAATATGCGCAAAATGTAAAGGATTAACGAATTTCTCATCCATAAGTGATAGTTGTGCATCAACCTTGTCATATTCACTCTTGTCTATACAAGGAAGAACAGTAGCTGATGCTTCTTCGCAATCTTTGATTAATTCAGATTGATAGCGTTTATATAATGTTTGATATCCATTCAACGGAAAATCTTTTTCGAAAAATCGATCGATACAAGTCAATGTTTGTGCAATGAGCAAATGGTCCCGTAGTTCTCTACTTTGACCAGAGTATTTGTATTGCTCCATTCTACTCTTCAACGTTTCGTAATAAACGTGATATTGCCGCCGATGCTGCTCTAATTTCTCCTTACCGTCAATATATTCGAAAACTTGGGGAAATCTCGAAAGAAAATCGAGCGCTTGTAAGTGGATTTCGATGTTTTGTGAATATTTCGAAGAATTTTCACATCGATAATTTTCAATCTGAGTCGCACGGTCAAAAACGTCGTTGATTTTCTGTTCTAATGAACTTATGAAGTTATCTAAATACTGTTTCACTATTTCAATTCCATCATCGGCAATCTCTCTAATCCGATCATAACCTATCTGTTCGCAGCGTTTAAAATAAATCAAAGCATTATTTGCCGCTAACATTTGTGATTTGTCGACTAAGCCTTTGCTTGATTTGTATTTTCGACGTTTTATCGGGACATTCGTTGTGCCGGATAATCGAGAGACTGGTTCGCTGGATTGCTGATGCATTTGAGAATCACTCATTACTTTTTCTTGTTTATTGAGACTCTCTAATTCTCTCTTGAACTTTCCGATCGTCTTCCTCAGAGCATCGATGTTATGATAACCCTTCTGGAGTAAATAATTTGTTGCCACAGGTTTTACTTTTTCGGTTTGCTTTATCGTGCGCGAAAAAACTTTTACTGNACTTATTACAGCTCAACGAATGGGTATTCAACAAATTACAGTTGAACCTACTTTTATTTCAATTAATAACTTTCCATCTACACATTATACAACACTTATTGAACAACAAATAGATATCTGTCAAATTTTCCATACTATTGACGCATCAGTAAGTTATTTTTTATCAGACGTTGAACTAGCGATCGAATTTCTGTCATCGGATTTACTCGGTTTTACTGGGAACCGACAAGAACCTGTCATAATCGATAGTCGGATACGATTTCCGGTTTCCTTAGCAGGATTCCAGACACTTTCCCAAGGTATCCAACGCGGAAAACATATATATACTACAGGTATTCGTCGAAAATAAGCGGAATCCTGCTTTCAGGATCCACCGTCCTGGATGACTAAGGGTATACAGAGTTCACTTCACAAACCGATTCAAATCAGCTAAAGAACTGAACTAAATCGATGTGAACTCTATGAGCAATTCTTTTCGATAAGTATTGAACTCTCTAGTCGTGCTTCAACAGACATGGTTATCCTTATAGTACAGCACTTGAGAACCCATGGATAACCATGCCTGTTGAAACACGAATAGAGAGTTCAATGTTCATCGAAAGGGATTGATTATAGAGTTTACATCGGTTTAGTTCAGTTCACAAACTGAACTAGAGAAAAAGTGAACTGTTATAATGTCGAATATATCGAATGCTATTCAAATTTCTCGAGAACATCTTAGTATCTTCTTATTTTTCGATTGAAAATTATCCAGTAGCGAATAGAGTTTGATAAATTTGATTGAATTATTCATATGTTACTTTAATTTAGTTAATGTATATGAATGAATGTTTCTTTATCAACGGAGATGAAATACATTCAATTGGAAAGGAATTTTTTCACCAATTTCGAAAGGAATTATCAAGTTTAAATAAGCAATTAAATGACTATTTTGGTTTATGGCTATCTTATTTTAAACTTAGTCAAACACGATATCATCGATTGTTTAATGATGGAATTTTTTATGATGAAGAATTACTCAAAATTGAAATGTTAAAGCAAGATCCATATCTGATCGAATTACGTGAAACAGTTCATCGTCTTGAAAACAAACATCAAAATGGTATAGATGATATATTCAAACGTTTCATCGATTTATTAATTGAAGGAATATCACCTTCGAGAATTCTTCCATACAGAAAAGACAATAAAAATGATTTATTCTTACTCGCGATTTCGACTATGTATTATTCAACAATTCGATTAATAAAATCAACAATTGCTATTGGTACAACTATTCATAATATTTTTGAACATGAAACAACACATCGATATACTAGTTATTAGTTTTTTTTACTTTCATTGATCAAATAATAAAATATTTAGAAATTTTAATCGCAATCTCGAGGGTAGCATGAAAATATAAGCATAGATTTTGTATTTAATCTACATTTACACTCATCCTCAAATGCAGAATTCATATTGAAACTATTTTATTGCAACGGATTGTCCGTTCAATAAGAAATATAACTTTTGCCTTCTGTGCTTCAGCAGTGTCAAAATCGAAAGTTGAATTCAATTATTCAACTATTCAAAGAACGTATAAGTCGTGTAGTTCGTATCCTCAGTATAGCGCATATAGCCCGTACAGTTCGTATGGTCCGTATAAGCCGTGTAGAAGCTATAGACTATTTTCGTACCGTTTATATAAGCTATATTGAAGGTCAAAGAGAATTTCTCAACTTTCAAGGTGGAAATCAGGAACTTCCTCGTGACTTCTATACGACTACAGGTGCTATACAGTTCATATATCCTATATTTCCTACCCAGCATCGGCGGGCCGGCAAAAAAATTTCAGGGGGGGCAATAAAAAATTTTTCAGTTATTATTACCACAGATATTCGTTTTTTTCTGTGGCGAAAAA